TTCATTTCAGTTGGCACACCTGACGTTTTTCAGCTTGGTCTTTAACAATCTGATCAGTCTCGGGGACGGATGCAGTATTACCTTCTGATACGGGGGGGTTCGCCACGCGGTTTGCAAAAGACAAAGGGCAGTTGCGGTACACGTGGCCCTCATTGCCACACACTGTGCATTTGATTTTATTTGAGCACTCAGCCACAACATGACCCACCTGCTGGCAACGATAGCACCTCATGTTTTTGCATTCCTTTCCTAGGTGACCCATGCTGCCACATTTAGAACAAGTCTTAGGCTGACCCCAGTACGTGAACCACACGTTTCTGTTGGCAATCCGAACCACTGATGGAATGTGCTTTTTCAATTTTATTTGGTACGCACGATTTCCATTCAGTATACCAGGAAAGTTTGCAAAAGTACACAGCCTTGACCCGACAACCTCACCATATTGAGACAGCATCTGTTTTACATAATTGTTATCCAAATCCAGGTCAATGTACAAAGCTGTGACAACAGTGACTTCTGAGTAGGATTCCACGGTGCATTCATCAAACCCTTGTAAAACCTGTTCGAACTGGTTTCGAAAAACCACCTGCCTGAATTTTACGTCAAAGGAAAAACGCGGCAACTGCTGTACTGCATCCAGGTGGATTTTGGGGTCAACGCCAGCCTTACTCAATAATTCGAAGACGTCTTTCGTTGAAGTATATTCTGAAAACTTCAACAATAGGGTGCGGTCCTTTCGACCGCCTGGCCGAATACCGGCCATGGCTATAAAGGCCAACCACTAATAAAACGGATAATAAAATAAATACTCACAGTAAAGCAAATACACAACAGACCGAGACTTGATGAGTCAGCAAAAAACAGGAAGTTCTCTTTTAAAGCAGCGAAGTCTGGCGAACGGGCGCAGAGATCTTAGCCAAAAGGCCGAGAAGCGATAACCAGTAACGGCCATAGCACAGAGGTATATGCAGATATGCAAATAAATGGTCCAGCTCATATACGAACACGAAAATGGTAAATGTTGAAATAACAACCCGGAAATTTCGTATATTGTTTTCATGCCTAATGGCATGTTTGTTGCTATTATTTGTTACAAAGTTACTAGTCGCCTGCATACTATCTCGGCGACTTTTGTGGCAATCGAAGCTAAAGTTAAGCCAAAAATATATATTTATACGTAGCGTCAGGTGACGTAATCGATTATGCAAATTAGGACCGTCCGTCCAGCCGAAGAATAAGGGTTTTAAAAAGTTCCATTAGCGCCCACTATCGGGCATTAAAATGGAGAAAACGGGTGACGCAAAGGGTTGATTTGTTTTATTCTGATGTTAAATTGTATATGAGGTGGACCATTCCCAGAAATACTGCAATACTGGGTCAATCCGTGGCCAGGACGGAGCAAGCCCCTATTCCATGGCCTGTTTTCAAAAATCAGTTTAATATCGAGTTGCTCAATGAGCAACGTATCAGATATTAAGCTGATAAGAACAGATACTACACATGATCTTAGCCAAAAGGCCGAGAAGCGATAACCAGTAACGGCCATAGCACAGAGGTATATGCAGATATGCAAATAAATGGTCCAGCTCATATACGAACACGAAAATGGTAAATGTTGAAATAACAACCCGGAAATTTCGTATATTGTTTTCATGCCTAATGGCATGTTTGTTGCTATTATTTGTTACAAAGTTACTAGTCGCCTGCATACTATCTCGGCGACTTTTGTGGCAATCGAAGCTAAAGTTAAGCCAAAAATATATATTTATACGTAGCGTCAGGTGACGTAATCGATTATGCAAATTAGGACCGTCCGTCCAGCCGAAGAATAAGGGTTTTAAAAAGTTCCATTAGCGCCCACTATCGGGCATTAAAATGGAGAAAACGGGTGACGCAAAGGGTTGATTTGTTTTATTCTGATATTAAATTGTATATGAGGTGGACCATTCCCAGAAATACTGCAATACTGGGTCAATCCGTGGCCAGGACGGAGCAAGACCCTATTCCATGGCCTGTTTTCAAAAATCAGTTTAATATCGAGTTGCTCAATGAGCAACGTATCAGATATTAAGCTGATAAGAACAGATACTACACATGATCTTAGCCAAAAGGCCGAGAAGCGATAACCAATAACGGCCATAGCACAGAGGCATATGCAGATATGCAAATAAATGGTCCAGCTCATATACGAACACGAAAATGGTAAATGTTGAAATAACAACCCGGAAATTTCGTATATTGTTTTCATGCCTAATGGCATGTTTGTTACTATTATTTGTTACAAAGTATCTAGTCGCCTGCATACTATCTCGGCGACTTTTGTAGCAATCGAAGCTAAAGTTAAGCCAAAAATATATATTTATACGTAGCGTCAGGTGACGTAATCGATTATGCAAATTAGGACCGTCCGTCCAGCCGAAGAATAAGGGTTTTAAAAAGTTCCATTAGCGCCCACTATCGGGCATTAAAATGGAGAAAACGGGTGACGCAAAGGGTTGATTTGTTTTATTCTGATATTAAATTGTATATGAGGTGGACCATTCCCAGAAATACTGCAATACTGGGTCAATCCGTGGCCAGGACGGAGCAAGCCCCTATTCCATGGCCTGTTTTCAAAAATCAGTTTAATATCGAGTTGCTCAATGAGCAACGTATCAGATATTAAGCTGATAAGAACAGATACTCCTTTTTGGTTTGGGGGTAACATCAATCAACTAAACAAAAAATGTTTCAATCTATATTAAAGGCAATGAGGCGCCCCAAGGCAGGCCGGCCACGCCGGTTCGAAGTTAAAGATGGTGCGATCACCCCTGCCTATCACCAACATCGCAACTAAGGATAAAGGATACAATTTAATATCAGAACAACCGCAATGCAAATCCAGCATCAAATCCATCAAAGAGAGAGAATTCCAATCAATGTCCCCTATAGAATAATAGAAGAATTCTGTGAAACTAAACAAGACTGTTGGACAACTTACAACAAATTGTAATAAATCATACAAGAATTTTAATTTTGCCATGGGAACGGACGGCTAGTACGTTTTTTATACACCAATGGTGGACAAATTCGGAGATCGAGAGTCTGTAGATATCGGCATGAAGACGGGCGCGGATTTCTTTTCTAACGTGTTCAAGGACCTCGTCACAAGAAAGGTAATTGTGATCGAACACGGCTTGACAGCGGGTACGCCATAAAACAAGCTTGGCGGAGTTAAGTACAAAGTTAAGAAGAGAAGTTTGACGCAAATTCATAGTGTTTGAGGTAAGTCCAAATATGATGTCATTTTCATTACAACGTAATAGAGTACCGCTCAATCGCGCTAGAATGGCGTCGACCCAAGCCCACACAAAGCTAGCGTGTTTACAGTGATACAACGCATGCGTAATTGTTTCCCTTGATGTGCATCCTTCCCGTGGACAAGTCGGCGGTTCGCGAATATGACCCCATCGCGCCAGGCGGTCACGTGTTATCAGTAACACCGTGTGCCGATTTCCATGCCATTTTCCTTCAGAGAATTATCTAGAATGTTATCATTGCGTTGAGCGCTCGACTTCTGTCCATAAAAATACCCGGGATTATGAGACACCACTCGTGGCCAGACCGTCGTGGGGGAAAAGATAAAATATATTTCTTTTTTGCCGTGAGGGAGCTCCAAGTAATAGATTTGACTTATAGCACAGCTGACTTAAACGTTTGATATTAGTGATGAACGCAGAAATGCCAAGGTGGGATATCGGAATAGTGGGAACCATATTAGACCCAAAGTTTCGGGAAATGTGATCTAACGTCAGACACAACATAACTCCTCATGAGATCAACACAGGGTTGGTACTATTGAACAATTGAGAAAAAGGACTAGCTAGCAGGGCCTGTGCCTTTATTACCAATCCAATCCACCCCTGTCCAAGGGAAGGCACAGAACGTCTCTTTTCACCAGCTCTGTTTTTCCCTTGCCCCAGAGGAAAGAAAACACATACTTATTAATGACATTTGCATAGCCGACTGGCATTGGAAACAACGCAGCGACGTACCAGAAAATTGGTAGCGCCACTGAATTGAGAACCAGAGTTTTGCCAAGGAGAGTAAGCTTTCTACCGGTCCATGAATCAATAACCTTGCGAAATTGCGTGACACGGTCGCGCCAATTTGTTTGCGGTGCATCATCCCCAACCCATATCCCGTTGACTTGGATGCTATTGCGTGTCCACCTGATGTTGTTAGGTAAGTTACCACGTGTTCGCCACGCTCCCACACACATGCCTTTACATTTGTTCAAATTGAGTTCACTCCCGGTGGCTCGGGAAAATTGAGAGCAATGAGTGAAAATACGCGCGATAGAGATATCATTTGTTACAAGAGCGGTATTATCATCCGCGTATTGCAGCAGTTTTGCACTTTCGCGCTGACCTGGAATACTGAAGCCTTTTATAGCCTCGTCGGTGCGCACAGCTGCTGCAAACGGTTCAGAGAATAACACGTACAGAAGGGGGGACAGTGGACAGCCTTGCCGCACTCCTCTGCTCAATTTAAAAGGGCTAGTAATTGTTCCATTAATGAGAATGGCACTTTCAATGTCAGTATATAAAATACTAATCCACTGGCGCAAATTTGGACCAAAGTTCATTTTCTGCAATACTCTCTGGAGAAATTCCCAGTCTACTCTGTCAAACGCTTTCTTTTGGTCAAGCGATATGATGGCACCCATGGCAGGTTGCGTGAGT